TATCCTGACCGGGCCGTATGATCACCAATTGCTTTGAATCTTCTCGCCGAGCTACCTCTAACTTGGCTTCCTATATGTGGCCAACATAGCACTTCGACTCGCCCACTGATCGCAACTAGAGCTCACCGACCGGCCTATCAACCATTGTTCGTACACCGAGCTATCCTGAGCTTGTAACTTGGCCCACAACGCGACCCAATATTCAGAAAACAATGCTTCCTAGCTCGGTCCAATTTGGCTATACAAATTACTCTCTCAAAAAATAAAACTGAATTAGTTAAATTTACTTATAGTGAAAAACTATTAGAAAAAAAAAAATTAAACAAATTATTATTTTTTAAAAATTTGTTTCAAACCAATAATCCATTTAAGGGTGCCCCAGTGTCGCTATATCCTAAATGATATGAACATGCATACAAACACATAAATACAAAAATTTTAATACTAAACAATCATATTGTGCAATATAAACTAGAAAAGTTATTGATTGGTCCTCGACAACGTCAAGTGGTACCCTAATGATATTGTGATTGATGGGAGAGATGGTATTCATAATTTTATATTGAGTGATTAAAGAATTTGAAGGACATGATAATTTATGATTACTAAGAAATATCGTCATGTGGCCTTGGATCAACCAATACTTTTTCTATAAACTATAAGAAGAATCATAAGAACCATCAAAAAGTATTGTCACCCAAAAAAAAAAAGAAAAAAAATTAGCAAAAAATATAAAAAATCCTACTTGTTTGGTTTGAATTTTTTGAATTCACTTTTTAAAAATTTGAATTTTTTTATTTTTCGTGTTTATTTTATTTTCACAAAATATTTTTGTAATATTTTAAGCAATTTCTTTTAATTTTTAGATACACCTAACATAAGTACACCTAAAAGTATAATATTTGTGAAATTTTTTTTAAAAAATTAACTAAATACCAAAAATTTAAAAAAAACTATGAAAATTTAATATATTTTTCGTATTCTTGTGTGTTTATTATTTTTTAAAATATTTTACTTTTTAAATATATTTAAGTAAGGTGTATCTAAAAGAGTTAAAAAAAATGCTTAAAAAATAAAAATATTCACTAAAAACATAAAAACACGAAAGCTAAAAAATTTAATTTTTAAAAAATTGAATCCAAACAATTAGAACCAAACACAGTGATTTGTCAAAGTGTGAGAATCTCTGTTTCCAACCATCTAAAAGCTTGTCCCTCCATATAATTGTAAATATTTTGGGTAAAATATAAATACACTTCTTCAAACTTGTTTAAAATATGAATTGTTCTTACTGGTTTTAGAAATTATAAATACTTGTCAGATTTTTTATTTAATGGAATTAACAAGAAAATAAAAATTCAAACTACTATTTCATACAATAATAAAATTACTTGAGTTATTAACATACTTCTAACATCATTAAAACTGTTAATTGGCTTAATAATTTATTAATAAAAATTATTATTTGTTATGCAACTAAAAACTTGAACGGTGAGATGTAATTTTCATAACTACATAGACAATTTGTATGGGGATTGAAAAGGGAAAAAGGGCCATGGCTTCTCTACAAATGGACACAATGATTAAGGGAAACCTTATTGGTCAAAACACAGAGAAAATTGTGAGTAAATCAAAGAAATTTCAAATTAAAATTTTTTTTAGAACACACAGAAAATTTCTCTGTATCGAGGCTGAAATTTCTCTGAGTCGAGTTAGAATTTCTCTGAATTGAATTTTTTTCGTGAAAATGTTGAAGGACCCTCAACTACTATGAAAATATTGTATGTCTTTTATCTTATAAAATTTTAATATCAGAGACTTTAACAAAAACTTCCCTTCATTTTTTACATGTCATACATAGCACAAGTTACCACTAGTTTTCTAAAAGAGAAAAAGAAAAATTTATAATTGTGACAGGTTGTTGCCGAGCCTGATTCTCGAAAGTCCAAACCAAATAAAGTCAATTACAAATACAACTCATGAGATTTATTTAAAATATAAATTGTTTCTTGTAATTTTAAAATTATAAATATCCTTTTATTTATATTTTTTATTTAACAAAAAATTAAAATTGTAAACTATTTTTTTATACAACAATAAAAGTGCTTATTTTAGTTTATTTTTTTATTTTAAATACACATAATCTAAATGTTTTTTAAAAATAAAATATTTGAAAAGCAATCTAAAAAGAACCTAATAAATAAAAAAAACAAAAATATATTAAATTTTATTTTATTTTTTTTAAGAATTTTTTTAAAAAAATTATTTATAAATTTTATTATTTTTGACTGTATCTAGTTTGAGAACCCCTATAAAAGCCAAAAAAATAAAAAAAAATTAAAAGTTGCTAAAAAAAGATCAAAAAGTTAATGAATTATACAAAAAATAGAAGATTATTTTTCTTCTCTACTTTTTTATGTTTTTTTTGTAAAAGTTAAAGAAAAAAAATCATTCCAAGCATACTAAAATGGATCTAAAATGATTATTTTTATGTTTATTTTTCACCTCATATTTTAGCTAAAATTTTAAAAAATTATTAAAATAGCTTATTCCCAAACCAAATGGATCTAAAAATTACAAATTTTGATTAAAATATTTAAATTGTTTATTGAAAATAAAATATATAAATTTAAAATTCAAAAATTATTTTTAAAAACTCTAAATCTAAGTAGATATTTTGTAACCAATCATATATATATATATATTATTAAAATTACTATTTTTCCATTACTTATGTGGCATATTTTAAAGTTTTACTCTTTTTTTTCTAAAGAAGTTATATTTCTTTTCCATTTACATATAAAGTTCTACATCAACTCAATTTTAATTATAATAACTAACTAGTGGTTGACCCGTACAACACGAGTTATTTTTTTTAAATAATATTTTATAAAATTAAGTTAAATTATTTATATATGTTTATATATAAATTATTTTTAGAAATGTGTTGCAATGTATGCATTACAAAAGAATAATATTAATTTTATCATGATATAAAATATAGCATAAATAAATATATAATAATTTTAATTGAATTATTTATGTATATCTATGTATACATATATATAGAACTATTTAAAAAATATATAACAAAATATGCAGTGCAACTTTCGTTATGTTAAATTATGAAAGTATAGTTTAAATATATATATATATATATATATATCCGTTATGTTAAATTATGAAAATGTAGTTTAAATATGTATATATATGATACTTTTGTACTTAATTTCAGTATAATACAATAAATATTCATTTTAATATTAAAAATAATGATTAAATTGGAGAAAAAATGTTATTTAAAATTAAAAGATGATTCTAATTATTAATTTTGATAATTTTAACCTTATCGTTCTATAAAAGTGTTATTTAAACGAAATTTTATTTCAATTATTTATTTGTATTTCAATCATCTTAATCCTATCATGCTATAAAAGTGTAAGTGAAATAAATATATAATGATTTTATATGATATTAAATTGTAACATAGTAAAATAAACATTTAATTTGATATTAATAATAATAGTTAAATTGGAAAGAAAAATAGGAATATACAATTAAAAGTAATTTTAATTATTTTTTTTATTCAGTTGGAAATAGATAATAATAAAAAAAAAGAGTAGGAATAGAAGTTATAAAAAAAAGTATTTGAAAAAATTAAATATAAGTATGTTACGGTTAGATTAAGAAAAAATAGATAGATTAATTATGTTAAGCATTGATTTTTTCTTTCATATCTATTTTAAAACTGTTTATACATATTGTATATAAAATAACTTCATGTTAAATAGGAAACTCAATATAAATTAATAATAAATTATAAATAAGATAGACAAAAAAATAAGAAATATATTTAATTTTAATATAAAAATTGAATACTTGAATAAAAGTAAAAAAAGTAGAAGAAAATTAATTGGTAAAGTATTTTTTAGTATATGTAATTATTTAAATTTTATTTATGAGTAGTTTAGATTAAGTAGAAGTTTTTTGAATATCAGATTTTAGGAATAATTAAGTATAAGGTATGTTACGTGACATTTAAAAAAAAAGACAAAAAAAATAAAAAAAATAGAGATATGTCACATGAGTGATATTAGGGATCCTAAATAATCTATCAAATTTTTTACCAAACCTCGCACATGTCCTACACATGTGGATTTGTATTGGTCTTATACTCATGTGAGAGGTTTGATAAAAAATTTAGTAAATTATTTGAGGTTTATAGCATTTTCCATGTTCCATAGGAGAGAACAAAATATAGAAAATTTAGTAGATTATTTGGGATTTATAAAATTTTTCATGTTACATAGGAGAGAACAAAATTTTGAGGGTAAACCATATTTATATATATAATTAAATATAAATTAATATTAAAATATCCATAAGATAGACAAAAAAAATATAAAATATAAAAAAATAATTTAATCCATGAGATGAACATAATTAAGCATATTCTATCTTATTTATTTATTTGTATATCAAGATAATATTTTTTAAATATCATAATAATTAAATTAATAATTCTCAAATAGAATCCATATAAAATTAATTATTATAATTAAAATTGAGTTTTGTAAAATTTTATACGTAAATGAAAAAAATGCTGATATATATATATTTTAAAACTAAACATTTAAAATGTAAAACTTTAATAATAAAAAAATGTTAATAATAAAAAAATGTGAAACTTTAATAATAAAAAAAATATTATTTTTAATAATATATATAATTTTACATAAATTATATTTGAGATATAATTACTAGTTTATCATTATTTGTCTTATTTTTTTACTGAGAACAAATCACGAGAACAACATAAACTCCTCCTCAGACACGCCCCCCTTCCTTGAGAAAGCGTTAGAGGTCCCAAATTTTCTATCAAATAAAAGGTTAAATATCTCATATGGGTGTGGAGCTTACAAAATTATAGACCCCACACGCATGTAAAACATCTAATCATTTATTTAATAGAAAATTTGATATACAGGCATTATCCCTTTCCTTGTCCATCTCTCTATCTCTCAAAAACGAAAGATTCTCTCTCTCTCTCTACATTTATAGATTTCTCATCATCATCATCATCAATCATCAATCGTCAATCTCGACCGATCAAATGCTTCAGTTGTTCTTCGCGCTAGCCTTCTCGGCTGTGCCACTGACTCTCTACGTTCCTCCGATCCGTAGCCTCAACCTCCTCGTGGAGTCCGTGGAGCAGCTCCTCCGCCAGACCACCTCCTACTCCCTCCACGCCTTCCCTCGCTTGCGCTTCATCGTCTCCCGATTCTTCTCTAATCTCCTCCGAACCTGAAGGTACTCAGTCATGTATTTCTCACTCTATATCTATATGTATATGTCAAAAATTCCCAATTTCCTCCATTGTATATGTTCGTGATTGTGTGCGTGTTGTGTATGGTGGGTTGTGGATTGTGAGATTTTAGGTGTACATGAAATTTAATTGTAGTTCTCGAATGCGGAATTAGGGTTTGTTCGTTTGAACTTTGTTCGTTCAAATAGTTTAATAGATTGTATTTTTTTTCTTCTTTTGCGTAATTTGGGTTTCTTTGAGAGACTCCTTTTGTCTTGTTGTTGTTTGTTTGTTTGTTTGTTTTTTTTTTTTTTTTTAATTCGTGAATTATTTGAATTCCTAATTTTGGATGTGCCTCATAAAGAGGTTTTTGTTTTTAAATTGGAATTGTGTGTGGAAAATTTGTTGCTTTTGTCATGGGCTAAAAATTACACATTCACCTCTTAATAAGAATTATTTGTCATTTTGATCCTCAAAAAACATTCTCTAACTTTGATCTCTAAACTATTTGTCATATTGGTCCAATTATCAATTTCTTTTATAGTTAAGGGGCAATTTAAAAAATTTAGAGGGGGGGAAGGAAAAATCACCGGAGTTCCTGAAAAAGTGAAGTTATATCTGTAAATCCAAACTCAAACCCGAACTAACCTAATCTCAACACATCCTCACCCTGAAATTCATCACTAAATAAAAGGGTATTTGGAGAATATTATATGAATACACTTTATATATATATATATATATTTTGATCATATCATATCTCTCTATTTTTTTGTATATCTTTTTGTAAAAAATTAAAAAATATACTTATTTGGTTTATTCCAAACAATTCTTAAATTTATCTGCAATGGGACTCATATTAATAAATGTGCATGCGACTCGTGAGAAAATGAGATAAGAATTAAGATTATATGTAGCTTTTTTTAATCTAAAAAATCAACTTCTTGTCTAATGAAAATTATAGTAGGTATGTTTTGTTAAAAGGCAAAAAAGGTTGTGAATCGAAATTAAGAATTGGGAGAGGAGAGATCATATGACGGGTTCGTGCCATTGGTAGAGGGAATAGGATTTGAAAGGAAAGTGGAGGGAAGGGAAGGGGAATGAAATGTGAGGAGGGTTGGATCAAAGTTCTGAAAATAAAAAATTTTATAGTTTCAAAAGGAAAGTGGAGGGAAGGGAAGGGAAATTAAGGTCTTGTCTGTTATGATTTAAAAAAATTCAAAAAGTCATTATCTTATAAATCACATCATCTTATTTAAGTCACATCACTTCTCTAACACACATTTCTTCAAACCTAACCCATATTTTATAAAAATTCGAAAAGTGTACTTATTTAGATTATCCCAAATCATCCTTAATGTTGTGTTTGGTTGAGGGATTTAAGGAGGGATTTGGAAAGAGAAATAGAAAAGGTAGGTGAAATGTGAAAAAAAGCATGCCTACATTTCACATAGTTTCACACACCTTTTCCTTTTCCTTTTTCCTTTCCAAATCCCTCCCTAAATCTCCCAACCAAACACAGCGTAAATGTGTGGAGGGTTGGATCAAAGTTTTAGAAAAAAAAAAAAAATGTTGTTTCAAAATTGGTTCGGTTGGGTTTTAAAATCAATTTTGAAAGATAAGTTTTTGAAAACAGTTTTTAAAATTTATTTGGTTATATATTTTGCAAATAGTTTTGCAATTGGAGTTTTTTAGTTTGGAGTTTTGTAGTTTAAGATATTTTTGTAACAGCTCCGATTCGTAGTTCGAATTCGAAGGCTCGAATTTGGCCCGAATTTGGAGAAGAGGAAGAAGAGAAGAAGAAGAGGAGAAGAAGAACTGGACTGGAGCGGGCCATCAAAATCGGAGGTGGAGGCGGAGGTGGAGGCGGAGGCGGAGGCGCGGCTAAGCGACGAGCTGCCGACGAGTTGCTGACGAGCTGCGACGCCGACGAGCTGTGTCCGACGAGCTCTGTTTCTCTCTCGCCTCTGCTCTGCTCTCTCTCGCCTGTGTTCAACGAAGAAGAAGAAGAAAAGAAAGAAAGAAAAGGAAGAGAAAGAAAAGGAAGAAAAAGAAGAAAAAAAAAAAAAGAATGGCAAAACGACGTTGTTTTGCCATTCGAGCCAAAATCGAGCCACGAGTTTCGAGCTACCAGTCATTTTTCTTTTTGTAATTGAATAGATGAGTGTGAGAGAAAAAGTGATTGATTAATGTATAAGATGTGAGAGAAGATGAGAGGAGAGAAAAAAATGTAAGACAGAGAGATGGAATAGAAAAAGTGATTGAAAAATGTTTTGAGAAAATTGTAAACTAAGCAAATTTTGGATTTTGAGTTTTCAAAATTTTATTTTGAAAATTAAACTGAACACAACCTCGTATTTTAAAAACTAGATCATATTTTTGTCTAACTTTATCCTTTATGATGTCAAGAACTATGCTGTTATCACCTTGTTAAATGGAAATTCCTCTTTGTAATTTTGATTAAAAATTACTTTTGGATCTTTGACAAATGGTTGAGATTTTTCTAATTTTATTGCTAGAGTTAAGAATCTAAATTCAGTGAATCTGGATTAAGATATGTGCGGCAGAGCATAAGTATCAACATAACGCTTGAAGGAGCCTCAGGTAAATTAATTATTTTATATTTCGAAGATATTATGTTGACATGGTTTGAAAACAATGAACATGAGATTAAAAATAACATGACATGGTTTGAAAACGATGAACATGGCGGATAAATTATAAAATGCCATTCATGTACATGAGACTATGGGTGTTTTGGACTCGTGATAATTGTTGTTCAATTAAGATTAAAAAGAAATATTACAGGCATAGTTAGAACAAGTAAAATTTTTATTTACGGTCCCTCTTACAACTAACTCAAAATGCCAATGTCAAACGATTAGGACATAATTTATAATATCATGAGAGAATATGAGTGCGGAAAATTGAAGGAGTAATGAGAGATCAAATTTGGAAGTGAGGTTCCGTTTGGGAAGAAGGGTTGGGTGAGTTTGGGGCTATTTTAGTCACGAAAAGACAAAATAAGCTTTTTAATCGAATAAAACAAAATATCACGTCTAATCCTATAATTATTACATTATTTCTCTCACAAAAAATTAAAAAAGTCAAAAAGTCATTCCCAAACGAGACTTTTAGCCTTAAGTTAAAATAAACAAAAAATCAATCTATTTTCCAAACGAACCTTAAGTTATTTGTTAAAGTAATAAAGAAATATTTGTAACCTTTTTTTTTTATGAAGACGAAACTAGCAAACAGATATCATTAATAAGAACTATGTACAATAGTAGCCAGCTTATGCACTGGAGTAATTACATTTTGTCATACCTTGATAATACTAAGAAAAGTAAAATATTTACTAAAATACAAAATATCACTAATTATAGAAGCTACATGTCAATCAACATTAGAATTATTAGACTGAAGTAACTTAACCAAAACTTGGCAGTCCGTCAAAATCTGAATGTGTTGTAGTTGTTGCCCCATAGCCCAGCGCACAGCTTCTAAACAAGCTACAGCTTCGGTATTGAGAGGAGAAGAAGGACAATGTAAAGTCGTTGTGTGCTGCCCCACCATACACTGATTAGCATCGTAACAGATCCATGCCGCACCTACTTTCAAACCCTTGGCCCCCCATGAACCATCTATAATGAAGGTCCACATTGCAGTAATTTCTGGCAAATCCATGGCAAAACCTGTTGCGGATTGAAGAACACACATTGCACTTGAAGCTTGCATAGAGTCAGAGACATTAAGGTGCAGTAATGGAAGACTAGATTTATGAACATTGCGCCTTATGGCCAAAGTGTAACACTCTTTAGCAAACTCAATGGTAGATGAACAAGACTGCACATTATGATTGAAAACAAGGTTATTGGTGTTGGAATAATTGGTTTTTATAGGCTTATTTTGGGCTAACTCTAAGCCCAAAATTGAGTGGGTCCCAAACGTCTTTTGGGATGAGTCCGAAGAAGTGACGTGTTCCTTGCAGCATGGCAAGTCACACGATGAAGACGGTTCTTCAAAACCATTTATGAGTAAATGGGAACTTGACGTCGTTTTCGGGTTGTGGAATGAACAATTAAAGAATTAAATGTGAGTTTCCTTATAAGGTTTGTCTCACATTGAAACTTTAAAAGAGTTTTTGTATATATATAAACTCTAGGTAGCAACACTTGGGTTGAGCTTCAAGGGACACTCCAAGTTTGCAGAAGGGAGGAATTATGGACAAATAGAACCTTATCTCAAACCACCACACGCGCGCGCGCCGCAGCTGCAGCCGCTGTCCGTCCGATCGAGCCGTGCCGTGTGTGGGTTGTAGGTCGGGTCGGTTCTAATATTAATTTTTTAGAAAAAATTTATTTGAATTTTTTCTAAAAATTCTTAATGAAATTAATTCCAGTTTTGTGCCAAAATTGAAATTAATTTTCTGTCCAAATTTTATCACCTTCAGCAAGTCACACGGTGAAGACGGTTCTTCAAAACCATTTATGAGCGAATGGGAACTTGACGTCGTTTTCGGGTTGTGGAATGAACAATTAAAGAATTAAATGTGGGTTTCCTTATAAGGTTTGTCTCACATTGAAACTTTAAAAGAGTTTTTGTATATATATAAACTCTAGGTAGCAACACTTGAGTTGAGCTTCAAGGGACACTCCAAGTTTGCAGAATGGAGGAATTATGGACAAATAGAACCTTATCTCAAATCACCACACGCGCGCGCGCCGCAGCTGCAGCCGCTGTCCGTCCGATCGAGCCGTGCCGTGTGTGGGTTGTAGGTCGGGTCGGTTCTAATATTAATTTTTTAGAAAAAATTTATTTGAATTTTTTCTAAAAATTCTTAATGAAATTAATTCCAGTTTTGTGCCAAAATTGAAATTAATTTTCTGTCCAAATTTTATCACCTTCAGTCTAAAATTCCTAAATAGATTCAAACTATTTTACAGTTTCAAAACTGCCAAAAACTGCTGCAGTTACACAGATTTGAATCTTTACAGTTCGAACAAATCAAATTGTCCAGCAGATCTGTTGAAATTCAAACAGTATCTGTTCAATTCAAAATTACACCTGTTCACTTTTTATAGGTTCCTGTTTGGGTCTGTTTGTATGTCTATAAATACCAGCCTTATTCCAGCAGTTTGGGCATCTAAAAACAACTAGAAAAAATTCATTTTGCTGTCTAGATTTTGCTCTCTTGCATTAATTATTCTTCATATTATTTTAGAGATAAATTCAGAGAGTTTAGAACACAGGTTTTGTTCGCCGAACAAATTGTTTGGAGTATTACTACAATTTGTGAAGATCATTGTATCTTGAGAGATAGACGCCATTAATTTGTTTGATTTATTTCAATTTATATATTTTACACAGAATATTGTTCCAACAATTGCGTTGTATCCAAATTGCCCATAGCAGGGCCACCAAGTGGATAATTATATCATCATCACCCATTTGTTCAAGCCAAGTCTTAAACCAGCAAGAAAATGACAATGGCTGTCCGACACTAAAATCAAGTCCCAACTGTGATCCCCGCCACACCTGCTGGGAATATGGACACTGAAAAAACACGTGTTCTAGAGTCTCCTCGCTCAAATGGGAACACAAAGCGGATCGAATATCAACCCTCTTCGCAGTAACTCCTAATGAACAGGTAAAATACTATGAAGGCATTTCCACAACCAGAAAAAAAGGGTCCATTTAGGAGGGATTTTAAGCATCCATAATTTTTTCCAAATTGGGTTTTGGGACGGCATGTCGTGATACAATGGATAAACCCGAGATAAAGCTTGTTTATATCTAGAATTCACCGAATATTCTCCACTCTTTAACGGACTCCATACTAACTAATCATCACCATGATGAAGTGAAATATGGATAGAAAGGATTTTATCAATACAACTTTCTGGGGAAAAAAAATTGAGCAAATTCAATCTCCAACAATGATTCTCCATATCCATCAAATGTTCTAATCGCATAGTTGGTAAAAGTTGCGTGAGTCCTCTCCCGATTAAAGGGTTAGTAAGAGATGGAATTCATTGGTTCTCAAAGGGGTTGATCGTCTTTCCATTACGCACCACCCAATGTATACCCGAAAGTAATAAATCTCTCCTCCACAAAATACTCCGGCACCCCCATGAACATCTCTGAGGGACTTTGACCCTAAGAAAATTTTGACCAGCACAATATTTACCCAGCATAACCTGGGCAAACAAAGAATTTGGAGACTGAAGTAGTCTCCACGCCTGCTTAGCCAGTAAAGCCTGATTGAAGCAAAACAAGTCTTTAAAACCCAAGCCACCCCATCCCTTCGGCATATAGACCTTTGTTCAACTCTTCCAGCAAACACCACTTTGTCAATCCGAATACCAAAGAAAATTCCTGACTATAGCTGTAAACTAACGTGGGAACAACCACGGCATCTTAAAGACCGACAACAAATAAACTAAGATGGAATGTAGCACATGATTTATGAGCACACACCTTCCCGCAAAGTTCAAAACACCACATTTCCAGCCTTGGAGTTTAGCTCGAGCCTTATCCAAAAGACAAGAAAAAATTTCCTTCTTAGACTTACCCCGAAAACCCAAGATTAGCCCCTAAATAAATGCCGGGCTTCTCCACAATATGTACACCCATAACCGAAACTAGAAACCTTTTATGAGTAGGTTGCATATTGCGGCTAACATAAAGTTCTGGTTTGTTAAAATTTATTCGAAGCCCAGTTTGGACAGAAAATGCCACCAACATCCATTGAAAACACCAAATCTCCTCTATTTTAAAATTCATAAAAATAAAGCAGTCATCAGCAAATAGCAAATGAGAAATGGGAGGTGAGTGTCTACTAATAGTAATACTCCAACATATCCCTTGAGATCTAAGTCCGATAACACTTGCATCACCAATAAAAAAAGATAAGGAGAAAGAGGGTCTCCCTGGCGAAAACCAGCATGGGGAGCAAAAAAAATCAGATTGTTGGCCATTAACAAGGATCGAAAAGGTAACAATGGTCACACATTAAGCAATCAAAAAATCCACTTGTCACTAAAATCCCATTTGACGCATAATAGCCAAAAGAAATTCCCACTTGACCCGATCATATGCTTTATTCATGTCTAATTTAAGCCCAAACTCAAATTTTCGACCAGAATGTTTGTGTTTAATATGCTTAATTAATTCATGGGCCAGTAGGATGTTGTCTGAAATTAATCGACCACGCACAAAAGAAATATTTGTAACTAAGTGAGAATCGATCAACAAATTTAATTTATGAAATATAGTTTAAAGAGACAATTATAAAAAATTTATCAAATTTTATTCACAATATAATGGTTGATTTGTCATTTATACAAGGCTTATTGATTTTTTTCTCCTCAAATTTGGAAAAATGAACTTAGGCCATAAATTCAATATTTATTTTTTTTGGCAAACAATTCAATCTTAAAACTTTAGAATAATAACTCCAATTTTTTGCCATAAGATAATAATAATTTAAAAACCATATTATTCTCTATTTGTCATTTTGTCTACTATTTCACATATTAGGGGTTATTTGGTAACCTATATTAACATATTTTTTTTATTTTTTTAAATTTTTTAAGTCACATTATATTTTTATTTTTTTACACATTATTTTTACAAAAAATTAAAAATATATTTATTTATACATCATTTCAAATATCCCCTTAAGTCCATATCAACCCCATCATCAGCTGCCGCGAGTTACCTCAGGACGCCTTTTTTTGATGACCGGTGGATGTGCAATAGTAAGTTAAAAAAAAAAAAAACAAATAATTTTATTAATTAATCATATCATTACAACTAAAACAAAACAATCCTTATTGCCATACACCTCCTAAAAATGGATTTCTCAACAATTTTTTTTTTTCAAAAAATACAAAAACAAATGAAAATTTTATTAACAAAATAAGTTATTAAAAATATTTTTCTTCAAATTTAGAAAAAATTTAAAAATAATAAAAAGTAACAAATATATATATATAAGGCCAATTGAAATTTTTTCTTCCCAATTCATGAAAATCTAAAAAAGAAAAGAAAGAACTGATTTGGGATCCAGATTAATCCACTCACAAAATTCTAGACAGTGTGTGGCAGAAAATTCTAGACAGTATGTGCTAGAGGTTAATTTATCAACAATGATACATCTCACTAATTTGAGAGCACTAATAGACTATTAATGAGGTGGAAATTCAAAAAAAAAAAGAAAAAAAAATTTAAGGCCAAAACATCACATCAGTCAGTGAAACCCACTCTCTAGAGCTCCTTTAATGCTCCCAATTTAAAACTCCCAAATATTTTTCTTAATTTATATAGATTAATCCACTCAAAAAATTCAGAATAGTGTGCGGTAGAGATTAATTTATAGAGTGTAAGTTTATGTGTAAAATAATTCTGAATTTGAACAAAAGAAATTCGGACCGTCCACGTTAGATCCGAACACGAACCGTTTACGCACTCGTCGTCGTCGCTCCCCCAAATTCTCATCTCTGCAAAATCTCCCTCTCTCTCTCTCCCTCTCTCTCTCTCTCTCTCACCCGGCGAGTCGTTTGTAACGGTGAGTATGTCCGTACACAACCACCTCGTTTGATTTGATTTGAATTTTTTTCTGGGTTGAATTCTATTTTATTCATTGAAGATTGCAATTCGTACTGGGTTTACCAAGTTCCATTCTTTAATTTTAGTTAATGGGTTTGATTAGAATAGGGTTTCTTGTAACAGTTTAACTACATTGGCATTGTCCTTGTTGTTAGAGCAATTCCAACAAGCTCTGTAAAATTGGATTTCTTGGGGCATTTTTGCTCTGTAAAAATGGGGTCTAAAAGCTCTGATTCATCACCAGGCTGAGAGTACAATCTTTGCTTCGAAGGGTTTTGTTTTGGGATCACTGCTATGTTAGTTTTATGAACTGTATGTTTTCTTGAGTGATGCAATTCATGAATTTGCTTTTATTCTAGAGAGATAATGTTAGAATTTTATAAAGAATACATGATTTCCTCTAGCAAACCTGCAATAAATTAATCAAATATACATGAATGTGTTTGCATTTTGCTTTATGCTTCGTGTGTATCATCCGGTTATTATATGTCCTTTTTTGATTCATTTTGAAAAACATATTTTTTGAAGATTTTTTTTCCCCACAAAAATATGATTGTTGTTCAAATTCCATGTCAGTAGCCACGTCAGCAATAGGTGCCTAATGACATTCCATGAAAAAGGTTGCCTTTTTTAATTTTGTGTATGTAGCATTTTTTATTTTGAAAATTAGTTAAAATGGAGAGTTTTGTTGGAGTACACACTAGCTAAAGTGTTTAGGCAAAATGGAAACAATTGTTTGACGAGTTTCTAATTCAGACACATTCAATTGGGTCCCTAGTGGATTCTAAGTTTTAATTGCTTTGCTTCTACACTTTTTTTAATTGTAATGTAACTATGAATTTATCAGTTTGCTAAATTGATTCTGGTTTGTTTTGAAAGATTTAAATGAATTGCAGGAAATATAAGGGCAAATGTATGAAACAGTTTCATTTAAATTTCTTTGAATTTCAACCAATATCAACATGTGTTTAGGTCCGCAAGTTTAGCAGTGTAAGTCTTCATAACTTCACCACCAAGATTTCCAGTGTAGATTTCTTAGTTCTGTTGAACACCAGATTTGCAATATCCAATATTTCGTAATTATTCACTGATTGTACGTATGAATCTACATGGCTAGATATTTAAATTCGAGTTCCGTATGGTAAATTGACGGTTCTTCACACAATTTGTTTTTTTGTTTGTGCTGATTTTATGTATATTCTTTCCGTACATGTCCATATATTGGTTGTATTGTTGCTACTTTGAGACAGTTGTAGAAGCATGGCTGAGCTTGCCAGTGCCACATATAGGCAGAAATTAAGCAGGGTGTAGTCTAGTTTGTAAATTTTTTAATCCTTACTGCAATTCCAGATAAATTGAGTCCTCTTCTGGCAATATCATCAATTGAAGCCCACTGATGGAATGACAAAACAAGAAAGATAAAGCAAATCATTGGCTCTGGAAAATTCTGAAATTGTGGTCTCCATGGCTTCTTCTTCTTCAACCCTTCCATGGCTTTGGGTCATCGAAGCTCTCGCAAGCTTCAAGGAAGTGGATGCATCTATTCTAATTGGTACATGTGAATCTAAGAATGATAGGGTTTGATTTTGATTTTGCTTCTTTTTCTTTTTCTTTTTTTAAAACATTTTATTTATTTGTTTTAGATTTGGTTAAAAGGACTCCAGCAATATCTGACAATCTGGGAAAAAGTGCAAGAGAAATGGTCTCCTTGAGAATTTTGGAGAGTTTTTTCGCTCAGCAAACTGGAAGCACAAAGGGTGTTTCTTCTGCCCCAGATTCCAAAATTGAGTTTGATTCATCATATCGCTGTGAAGATGTTGTTCGACAAATACTGCATGAGGTAACCCCTGGTTTTATCTGTGCTCTTTAGATTGTTTGTTTAAATGGCGGAGACAAATTAAATTTGGAACGACTATATTATTTTTTGAACTCAACTATGTCTCGCTTATATGAAATCTTTAAGTTTTCTTGAATAATATATTCATATGTATAATGTATTTGTCAGATCTCTGCATCAAATCTGAAAATGGATGGACCAGAGATGTTGAAATGGGATGTTAGAACTTTATTAAGCATAAAAGAGCTTGCTTTCCAAAAACCACTTTACAACAGGTAGAAAGGAATCTCTTTCATTGATGTATAAATTTGTGAGGTTATTACATAAAACCCTGTCATTTATTGTTGGTGATTTGACCCATGTTCGTTCTTGACAAACAGCTGAAGGATGCAATTCTTGAAGGAAACCATCGAATTCTTGCATCCTTGAAGGAAAAGAGTGGATTATCAATTGGCAATCAGTCTGAAAATAGAATCACTGTGGATGATGATGATCTTAATGCAGTCCCAGGGAGACTTGAGAAGAGCAGCGATAGTGCAACTATGGAAGCAGGAGGGAACTTAACTGCTCCAACCGCTGAAAATTTGGATGGCCTCTTGCGAGAAGATTCACCTAATAGAGATTTGTTACCCTCTAAGAGGGATAGGAGTGACTTGGATACTGAAAATCAGTCTGCAAAATCCAATGAAGATCTTATCAATATGGACAATGGTTGTGATCCCCATTTGCATAATGGCAAGAAGCTCAAAAGGGACGCTGCTTGTACCAGTGAGGCAGTTGGTCAGAAGTCTGTTCCTATAATTGGAAATGAACTTTCAGAAGATTCATCTAGAAGAGATGGAGAAAATACTGTAAGAGAAGGGTCTGACCATTGGTTGGCTAGTGACATGATGAGATGGTCCCACATTTGATCGGACGGGTACAACAGGAGACGGAGCAACGGGTGATCCTAAAGGAATAGCAGCCGGCGAGTCTGTTTCTGGCTGCGTGAGTGTCTTCTTCCGAAGCCGACCAGTCTTTAAGCCAGGAACCATTTTCCAATCTGCAATAACATAAGTAACACTATATACATGAACTAGACAAAAATAAGTCCGCTTGATTATTGCAGACAAAAATAATACATGAACTAGACAAAATTAACACAATAACAAAAATAATACATGAACTACACCATTTTCCATTTTCCATTTTCCTATATACATGAACTACACAAAAATAAGTCCGCTTGGTTCATGCATATAGCAATAAAGAACTGTTTGTAGTTCAAGCACGTGTCCGTTAGTGGTTCATCAGAGGTGCTTGAGCTCTGCACCCAGCTTTGATGACAGTGGGAAATTTTACTGCCCTTTTTGTGCATATTCTCATGCAATTTTGAAGTACTTTGAAGTCAAGAAAAAGGCGTCTTTAGCTAGGAAAGATCTCGCTGCTTTCATTGGATTGGAGAATGGACATCGGGCAAACAAACTTTGTAAGAGATTTCTTAGATCAGAGCAAAATCAGTTGAGACGAGATGACAACGTGAATGGAAACAATCAAACAAACTACAATGGAAACCATGTAGATGAAGTCAATAGTTCTCAATACAGAGAAAATGTAGAAGCTAAGCAACAAGCAGAACCTTCAGTATCAGGCTTTAATGGCAATCTATCTTGTCGAGAAGGTGGTGTGACCGTAAATGATGGAACACTTGCGGAGACACAACAGATTGATGAACGGTCTGGTTCTAAGCTTCATGAAGATAATCCATCTTGCAGAGACGCAGAGATTGTCGATGTGACCAAGATACTTGCTGGAGATGGAAAGCAACAGGAAGTTTTACAACAACCGATTACTGATTCAACCCAAAAAGCTGCATGTCCACCGAATGCTGACGCAGAGGAAAGTTCTGAAGAAGAAAATGATAAGACCTCTTCTAATTACTCCAGATCACTCAGAAGAAAAGAAAAAAAGTAGTGAGTTTGTCGTATTTGTAGATGATAGGGGTGTTTATTTTCTGCATGTCTATGCTAAAGTAAATCACTCTATTCTAACCAGCATCCAAACACTAATATGTTCTTACTTGGCAAATTTCTGTTAAATAATTGATCTGCCTTTTTATCAACTTTAATTTGTTGCAAGGATTTGAATGTCCAACAACTGTATGTCCTCTCCCATCCTCATGTATGCGCTTGGTCTTTTGAATACTCTGATGTTGGATTTGGGTGCTGCTAATTTGATTGATAAGGGATGAACTTTGTTCCAATCTGCAGCACTTACCCGGCAATTCCTCAGTTGAGGCGAAAGAAACTCCCATGGACAGCTGCAGAAGAGTTCATACTAAAGGTACTTTTTTTAAATATTTTTTTTATGCATATATTTCTGCACCATGAGGGCATGATGTATATTTTTTCCTCAATAATTCATATATGCTATTACTGCAATGTAATAAGATTACATCATGTCCAATCTAGGCGAAGTCATAAAGTATTTTCATCTCAGATTTCACTAATTCCATAGTTCTCTAGTCAAATTTTGACATTCACCTCTACCCACTTCACCTGGGACCTTGAAAAGAACGGAAAGTATTTTGGGATAATGTAAACCAAAACAAAAAAGTTGATTTAAATAATGGCAATTGGCCATACAAGATCGAGTTAAACTTGAGTCTAAGTTTTTAATCGCTTTATTAATTCTCCTCTAGTGGAATGTGTTATTCGACCTTTCTCAATTAGCATTTAAGGGCTAAGGGTAGGTCGGGATATATGATTGTCGTACTCATTAACTGGGCATCTCTGAAGCTTGTCTCCGCTCTTATTAACTCTTGCTGCTGTGACTTAAAACTAAAAATTTTACATTATAGGCATGCTACAGTGCTCTTGGACCTACTGATTCTAACCCTAGATACTAGATAGCTGATAATATATATATATATATATATTTTTTTTTTTCTTACCCTAGATAGCATCTGGAAGCACTGCAAGGGTGAGGATAAGGTAACTTTGCTGCAAGGGTGAGAATAAGGAAACTTTGCTTACACCTAGAGGCAAAAAAAAAAAAAAAATTGTTTCACACATTTTGACCTTTCATTGCTTGGGATTCATATGGATTTAGTAGTAGCACAATCTTTGGGCTTGTTGTTCTGGTTTATTTCCTTCTTTTGATTAATGTTTGTTGGAAACGTTTTGCATTGATAATTATTACCATTGTTTGCAGGAGGGTGTGAATAGATTTTCAAGTGTTCAAGATAGAACTATCCCATGGAAGAGGATTTTGGAATTTGGGGTTGATGTGTTTCAGAAAGGTCGAACCTCAATAGACCTCAAAGATAAATGGAGGAATATTTGCAAAGGAAGCCCCAAGTCGAACCCGAAGTCAAAGTGAAATTTTGTCAACTTGGTCTGTTTGTTGCATGTGTAAAAATATACTCTGTTTTTGGCTTCCCCTTTTTAAACTTCATCATGTTCTCTTTTTGCTTTCTGTATTCAAAATTAAGTTGAAGTAATTTCATGATATGAGTAGGAATTTAAAAAGAGAAAAAAAAAAAAAAAGTGAGAAAAATGTAAATAAAATATAGTTATATTTTACTTGGGGTGTTTTGGGATTAAGTCGATTTTTTGATTTTTTACGGAAAGACGTGTAAAAAAATAAAGAGTTGTTAGATTTTTTACTTTTAAATTAAAATAGTCTATCCCCAAACAGAGCTTTACATTTAATCTACAATTTTTATTTTCCTTTTTAAATTTCTACCTAAATTTATAATTCAAATACAACTTAAAATTTATTTTACTTCTCAATCACTACTCCTTTTGGTGATAATTTTTGAAGGATTTGGTGATAGATCTCTCACTGTCTAATTTGTTTTTCAAAAGGACAAGAATTATACAGGTACTTTCAAAACCTTTTAATATTTTTAAACTTGTTTCTTTTATTATACTGTCCTCATATCTGTCAGCTCTCCTATTGAGCTATTCTCATAGTATATTTTAGAGTAAAATTTTACTTTAAATTATAATAAATTTTACTTTAATTCTGAGTAAAATTTTACTCTGAAAGTACAATTTTACTCTAAATCAGAGTAAAATTTATTATGATTCAAAATAAAATTTTAAATTTTGTACCCTCTCTACTTCCACCAACCGATGACGAACCAGAGCTAAGGACTCTGTTGGTGCACTATTGCTGCCTTTATATCTAAAGCTCTCAGATCTGAATCTCTCGTTTTTTAACTTTCTCAAACTCGTTTTTATCATTTTCCTTCCCAACATAATGACACGAGGAATAGAGCAAAAACAAGAGGGTTTGGGTGTAGTGGATCTGAGAAGAGAGAAAGGGATAGAGAGATTTGAGAATGGTGCAGTGGATGTGACATCGAGGACGGTGGTGAACCGACGGTGAGAACTAACCTTTGGTGGAAAAATCTAACCAGTGATGCACACTCTCTTCTCAACCTCATCATTGGTGAGACACCACGAACCGATCATGATAATAATGCAAAAGATTGGGAAGATGAGAGGTTTTGTAGTCATCGACGGCGATGGTTGTGGCAACGGAGGTGAGATACTCGGCGGAGGATCAGCGGCGGCTTCTCGGTCTGGCGATGGGGGAGATCGACTGAGATTGGAAAAGAGAGAGGGTATAATAATCTGATAAAATATTTAAATAATAAATTTTGTCCTTTATACAAGACTTTATAATTATGATGGAGTTTTAAAAGTATAATTTTTTTCTTAGTTCTTTTAACAATAAAAGGAAGGTAAGAGGGGTTTATAGCCAAATTTCCCATAAGTTTTCTCTTCTTTTTTTTTGGATAAATTATATTGACACTCTTTGTGATTTCTGTTTAATACAGATCTCCCACTCACATTTAAAAATTACACTTATCTCCATGTCTAATTAAAATGACATATTTGCTCCTTAGCTTTTATACATATCAAATAATAAGCATGCATATATTTTGTTCATGTTATTTAAGAGAAATAACAATCTTCATTGGTTTAACTCAACAAAAAATTGAATGTTTTTTTTTTATTATTATTTTTTGTATTTTTATTGAATTTTTGTAATATTTTAAGTAATTATTTTATTTTTTAGATACACCTAATATAGATATACTGAAGAAGTATAATATTTTGTATTTTTTAAAAAAAATTTACCAAGTACAAAAAAAATATAAAATATAAAATTCATATATGATCTTATTTTGTTGTATTCAATGGATTTTTTTTTTAAAAAAAATTGTACAAATTTTTATACCTTTTAAATATATCTAAATTAAATTGATCTAAAAAGTAAAAACAAATTGATTAAAATATTTAAAAAAATTATTAAAAATACAAAAATGTAATTAAAAACTCAAAAAATTATTTTTAAAAACTCCACGAGAGTACATTTTTGTTGATATTATTTTTGTATAAACGTATATATATGCATTATATTTTTGTGCTTTCAAGTTTTATTGAGTGGTTGGTTAGATTTTACGTGAATGGCAATATTTGGTAATACTGTAATAAACGTGAATGAATAGACAAGAAAGAAAAATGTTTGTGGAAATAAAAATGAAAAATTATATTCATATATAAAAATTTATACAAAAAAATATCATAAAAATATTGTGATAGTGATATTGTTGTAAATATAAATCATATTTATGGGTGTTTTGTTTTAAAGTGAAAGACCACCATTAAGCTATATCATTATGTTTGAAAATTCTATACAAAATTTATATTTGTATATCATCATTCAATAAGAATATGTTCAAGTAGAATTTAAGAATAAAAAGTTGTAGAATACAATCATGATGATAGGAAGAAAAAATGATAGAAAAAAAGAAGAGATAGTCATTTAAAAAAAGAATAATGTTTTGTGGCCCGAAAAATTCTGCCCCGAATTGCTGAAACGACAGCCATTCAATTTTTTTTTTTTTTTCTTCTTCCTCAGTCTGATACGCAGTGAGGGAGGAGAGAAAGAGAAAGAGAGAGGGAGAGGAAGAGAAAGAGAGGGAGAGGGAGAGGGAGAGGGAGAGGGAGAGGCCGTCGTCGTCGCCGATAGCCGATCGCCGCGCCTCCGCCTTCGCCGCCTCGCTGCTCTGCTCTGATCGTCGCCGTCGCTGCTCTGATTGTCGCCTCCGCCCCTCGTCGGCTCTGCCCCGCTCGTCGCCTCCGCCGATCGCGTCGCCTCCGCCTCCGCCGCCTCCTCCATTTTTTAGGCCCCCTCCATTCCTTCCTCCCCCTCCCCCTCCCCCTCCTCCTCTTCTTCGTCTTCCTCCTTTCTCCTACAATTTTAATTTTTTGAGTTATAACTAATATATATATATATATCATAACTAAACACAACGTGAGACATAACTAAAATAATGTTATAACTAAAGGAAAAAAAAAATTGGTCCTAACTAAAAAAAAATGGCATGGTACAACTTTTTTAAAGGGGTGTATATTAAAATTTCCCAAATGAAAAAGAAGAAAGAAAATATCGGGAAAGAAGTGATTGTTGTAATAATCGAAAAAGGTTCTGTGAAGTAACAATCTATAGACATCCAATTCTAACCGGCCCTAAGACTTTGGCGCCTTCTTCCAAACACCCAATGATGAAAACAAATGTGTTATCTCACAAAATTCTTAGCAAGAAGATGGAATTTTAGCTTTAATACCAACCTTCACCCTTTTTAGCCAAATTGTTTTAAACCCCGTTTTGGCCAAATTATTTTACACATTTGGACCGTTAAAATATATTTTATTAGTCTATTATCATATTGGATTTTATAAAATAAAACACTCAACCAGTGTGCTTTCAGAAAACAACTTCTCAAGTAAAAAGAAACAAAAATGATAAACGACAATAGTTTCCTTCCCTTTTTACAAATTTCAGAACTTTTCTTTGACAAATCCATTGACGTCCAATCCAAAATAAATAAATGGTTTTGGAAATGTTAGAAACACAGAAATTCTTCACATCAGATTGCCTTCATGTTGGATTAAGCCGACTCGTCACAAGGTTGAATGCAAAGTACTGCATTCTGTGTTTTCTGAATAAATTTCAGTGTTTGTAATCTAGGACCAAGTGACATTTGGCAAAGAAGGAAATATCCTTCTTCCATTATTGTTTATTCATTTCCATACTCCGAAGCACTCAAGTACTCACCTTGCTCCTCAAAATACTCAATCAAACGCTTCAAGAATCCATCGCCAGTCACGGTTTCAGTGTCACAAACAAGACAACACTGCCTCCTTGCTCGTGTCACCGCAACATTCATTCGCCTGCGATCGCTCAGAAAGCCCACCTAGAAAATCCACGAATCATTTACCATCATGTAATCTTGATGGCAGTTGAGATTTTGACCATTAAAAGAAAGGAATTAAGAGGACTAATATTTCAAGGATTACCTCTTTCTTTGAGTTTGATCGGACCATTGAAATGATAATAGCTTCCTTTTCTCGGCCTTGAAAGCCATCAACTGTTGATATCTCCATATCTTTTAGCTTGTCTTCATTGCTTCTCATCATCTTCAGTAAGACAACCTATGATAGTATACATAGAACAAAATAATAGGTCATAATATTCATAATGGGTATTTTAATCCTGTTCTGTGAAACCAAATTCACTGCAATGAGGCCTTCGATTGAACATTAAAAAAGTTATTTTTGAATTTATTGTTATTATTTTTTATTTTTTTACCTGTGCTGCATAAGGGGAAATGATTCCGATATCAGAAGCTTGGACTCCACTCTGAACAAGTCTCTTTGCATGGGTAATGGCAACCTCGGCTTCGCCCTCATTCATTGTGCTGTCTTCTTCATCTTTCTTTTCCTCCATGTCACATCTGAAACAGATTGGAGTGAACCACTTAAAGCAGTAGCACGGAATTCTTAAATAAAATCATTCCATTCCCTTCTTACAGCATTACAAATGATATTGTCACATTTCAAATGATTGTCTATATTTAACAATAAGATGCTTTGAAGGGTTTATAAGAAGTGTCTCATTTTAAACATCTCGAATCCATATGTTGATATTTTTCCCCCCTCCTAATTATCATCCCATGATAATATGATTTTGAGCATTCAAATCTTATAAAGCATGTATAATTTCATTTCAAAGTTCTACCTAAAAATAACAGAAAAGATTAATTTCAACGTGGTTCGAAACTCAATGCAGAAAACTCTCATCAATTGCCAAGTGAAACTGAGCCTGTGTGGCAAACAACAAAAATCAGCTGCATACCCAGCTATGTCTATGAGAATTAGAGTTGGTTCGGTTGAAGAAGACTTCTTTACCCCCTCAAGGTCATACAGCATGTGTGCAGCAACACATGGATGAGCTTCGATCTGTAAAAAAACAGCGGCAGAATATCACATAAAAAATACTAAAAACAACTGAACAATCATTCTTCATCAATAAAGAAATTTTACTATGTGAATCAACATCTGGGTATGATCTGAGCACCTTACTGTTGTAAAGCTCTTTAGATGACCAAGTCATTATGAGCTCATGCATGCGGTATTGGACAGTGAGCATAGACGTGACTTCATCACCATACAAGTCTGCAAGGCGTTCAAAGAGGGTTCTCCCTAAACCCTTCTTCTCGGCTTCTACGCTCTGAATGGTTGGAGGAAGCTGGAGGTGGTCTCCTGCAAGTATACATCTTGAACCCTAAAACAGAAAACTCATATATTAGAACCAATGCATGAAGTGTTAAAATGTGTTTCACGTATTAACAAATTAGGGATTGGAATTAATGATTGGGCTCCTTTCCAGGTAAAAACACATTTAGAGAAAGATGTCAGATATGTCTTCCTATTTACCTTTAGTAGGGCTATCCAACATGCTATCTCAAGTGCCTGAGCAGCTTCATCAATAATCACCAAATCAAATGAAGTACCCTCCAACTTTCGGGACAACGCACCAGTCAATGTCGTCAACACCACATCAGAACTTTTGATTACATCTGCAACGGCTAGCACTTGCCTTTCACGCTCTTCTTTAGAAAGAGTCTTTAGCTCCCTCCTTATGTCCCTCCTTGAATTTTTATCTTTTGTCTTCAAAAGCTTCCCATTCAAAGCCTGCACAAATCCATTAGGACAAAGTTGAAAAAAAGATCGTACTGTGATAATCATAAAATTACTGTAGATCAATGAATATATAGCGATCCTGGTTTTTCCTCTATTTATTGTATTCCGGACTCGGTTCCGTGGATGTGTTGTTGTCTCATTCTCATTTCAATCCTTTACTCTTTGTATTTGAGTCTTGGGTTGTG